AAATATACAGAACTTATTTTACTTTTATCCCAGCTCCACACACACGCAAACACACACAGTTTTTAGTTAGATAGAAATAAAACCAATCGTCAGAACAAATTTTTGGCCATAAACCGTAACTCTTTATGCCCACCACTGTAAGACGGGGGTGTACCCATTTGGTTCTTTTTTCCAAAATCTATCCAAATTCGAAAAGGAAGCTTCAGCGATCATATAAAGTATACATATTCTTGATCAGCGTGAAATTCTCAGTCGGTTTAGCCATATCCGTCCAACCGTCCGTGAGGTGTGCGTTGTTGGCACTCCCTGGTCGCAAAAATGAAGATATCGACTTCAAATTTTGTAGAAGCATCGGAAGTTTCTGCACGTAGATTGGTATTGAAAATGGGCCAAATTGACCAGAGCGGAAGCGCGCAATGCACCCCAAACTGACACCACTTTTTTTTAACGAAAATTTTTGGATTTTTCCTCGTTATTCGGAAATTATTAAAGTTAGAAGGGAGAAAATTTCAAAATTGGTTTACGGGACACTTTACTCTCTAGGTCCAAAAATGGAACCAAAGTTACAAGTGATTAAATTTTGTTTTTTTTCACTTTTTTGAGGTTTAATACATATTTATCACAAAGCGAACAAGACAAAACGTTTTTGTACACTTCTCAAATGGTGATATATTATCTGCCTAAAAATGGGTTAAGTTTAAAACGAATATGATGGGCACCGCGATTAATATTTTCCCATCAATACCAGCGATATGGGTATCAAATAAGAGAACTTGGAGAGTAGAAGGCGAAAAGCATAGTGATGGGTATGCGAAATTCGGCCTCCGCCGATTATGACTCTCTTACTTGTTACGTATTGTTTATTTACGGGTTTGTATGGTTGCTGTGGTGCTATATATTGATATTAAGTTTTCTCAATGAGGCAGAAATTTTAATAAACGTAATTGTCAATATTTAAAAATGCGATTTTTGTTTATACAATTATAACAATAATGAAAGGTAACAAGCAAAAACGTTTCATATATGTAAGTGCTGCCGTACCATCGCAGATGCAAGAAGGCATTAGAGGGTACTTAAGCTATTGGCGAATTTGGTTCTCTTTCATTTTTAAACTTTTTGGGAGGTTTAGTTATGCATATGTAGTGTACACATATATATATATACATATATATATATACACATATGTATATACTTTTATATATATGCATATAACTATTTGCATTTACATCGAGTTTCTGATAAATTTATGAACTCTAGAAAAGCTACGGATGAGAAATATGGGCATAATTAAGTCCCTTTCAATTCAATTTAAATGAAAAATTCTCTGGGTAAACATTTTACTGTATTATTATTCTTTAGTAGGGCGACCAACAATGTTTTCATTCATCCTTCCTTCATCGCATTCTTTGTGCAGGTTGGTGGGCAAGTTAAGAAAAAATATGAAAACTTCTACGTTCCTGCTTAAATGTTGTGAAGGCAACTGCTAAAGGAAACAAATCAAAAGGTTATGCAATCTTTGCAATGAAAGCTATGTGAAAATTTCCTACCTTGCCATATATGAGTGTATCATTTAACCGGAAAAAGGAATTATTGTTATTTCTGGCAGATGTTTGCAATAAGATTTGCTTTTGGGATAATGGCCTCCATTTCTGTCGATTTTTAATATCTTAAATTATTTTAATGAATATGTCTACTAGGACTGCTATGGATGCTATGCAAATAGTTGACTCACTTCTTATGAGGTTATCACGTCCACTTCCACACTTGATGTGTTTCTATCAACCAAGCCAAGATTTGAGAATTTTTATAGCCTACAACACTCGTGGCAGAGGGCATATTAAGCTAGCGCAGACGTCCGTAACACGCAGAAGGGTTTAAGATAGATCCACCTTTTATTATGCCGATCGATTCAGAATCATAATCTGAATTATAATGTTATATTGATGAAATCATTTTACTAACCCAGATGCCGTTGTTAATGCTACAATTGAGGCAGTTAATGGTCAAGGACTATAAACTACTAAATGAAATGGATGATAAGAATGTGTTGATATTAGGGTTCTTAACACTGCAAATGCATATGATTGAATTCTGACTAATTCTAGTACTAATAATGCAATTTGAGTATAAATTAACAATCAAATTAAGATAAAATTTATTGGTGATCCAGTATTTCCTAAGAGAGTTAATAGTAAGCGGTCTGCAATTATATTAGCAGTTAATCGTAGTGCTGATGTTCCAGAACGAAGCACATATCTGATTGTTTCAATGCATAATATAAGAGGTATTAAAACTGCTGGTGTTCGTTGAGGAACTAAATGTACGTTGAGTATTGAGTAATCAAATATTACGAAAGATAGTCCCAATGGCAAAGCTAAAGTTAAAGATGGCGTTAAGTGACTTTTTCTTGTAAAAATATAAGGCTTGTTCTTGTAAAAAATTAAATCTATGAAAGTATTATAGAAATTATAGAAAATAATGAGAGGAAAATATATGTTGAACCATTAGGGCTTATAGGTCCTACTAAAGTTTCAAATTCTTTATGTAATGATAATAAAATAGTGTTCCAGTGTAACGAGAAGGAATTAATCAATATAAAATTTTCTTTAGATCCTAACCTAACAAGGATTTTGTACTAAAATTCCATTGTCATCGTATGGCATAGATGCAGTTCCATTGTCATCGTATGGCATAGATGCACCAATAAGGTGCACATTTTTTCCTTTTTTGTCAACCATCACTCTATTTGGTTTGTTATGATTTATTAATTCTTCAGGAAAGGTGTTTCTAACTAAGAATGTCTATTTTGGTTTTACCCTTTTTTCTAGAAAAGTTAGATGGATTTTAGTGTCCTACACCAGTTGAGGTACAAAGGTTTATGATGTATGTGCGGATGTATGCAACAGTCCAGAGGGACGTAGGACGGATCTACCTTTTATTATGCCGATTAAATCAGAAATTGATTGTGAGCTTGTCCGTCCGTCCTTCTGTGTTGCTTTTGTTCTGTACAACCTACAAGTTTTTGCTAAGTTATTGATATTTGATAACATCCCTAAAGTAAACGATTTTAATAACGACATTTTTTTCTCTGTTTTCGTGAAAAATTAATTTAATTCTGTTTATTACGTCATTTATTAAGTAGAGAATGCAATATTAATGCTTATCTAAAACAGTGAAATATATCTAAAAAAATATAAAATAAAGGTTCGCTAACGTTCAGGTACCCTATTTGTGATGTTGTTCTTCTTCTACAACAACCCGTGGATGAACAGAAAAAAACAAAAGAGATTTTTTTTTTTTTTTTTTTTATGAGTCTGTTGAGTAAATAACTAAAAGATAACAAGAAGATTTTTTACGAATTTAAGCTCGAACCTTGCCGACTAAAATAGACATTCATATGATAAATAACAAAAAGAAGAGGAACAATTATCATCAAACAATGAAAAGAATTTATGTCGAGTTTATTAGAACAATAAAAAGAGAAAGAAAGACAAATAAAAAAGAAAAAAAAAAAGAAAAGAAGAATGCTTGAACAGCTGATTGATATGCGCCGACAGGTTTTATATCTTTAAACACACACTTCACACTCAAGTGATTAACGATGAGTCATAGCAGTGAAAAAAATAAATCTAAAATAAGTGCTTTTCTAAATTAACAAAAAGCGAAAAACCAAAGGCATATTATACACAAGAAACAATACTAATATGTGGCTAAGTGTAAGTGTTTAAGTACACACATTGGTATCTTTCTTTTTCTTTGCCACGAGTGTTGTAATGAATTTAACAAAAAATGAATAATAAAACAACAAGTGGTTGGTTTGTTTTCAACTATTTTGCGTTGAAACAGTTAGCGCGCTAGCATATGCAAAGGTAAACGGTTACAAAAAAAAAAAAAAAAAAAACAAGTAAGAAAATTATATTCGGTCGTAAACGAATCTTTTATACTCATCGCCGTTATCTTACAAAAAACAACAAAAATAAAAAAAATTACATTTTCATGTTCCATGTTATGGGTTGGGACGGGGCCCATTTTTTCCGGTTTGAACGTAAAAGTATTTGTCGTATAGGTAGGTGGGCGTTGTAGGAGTGTCCTTGAAAAAGTTTTACTCACTTCCAAATTCTTTTGCAAATTTATAGGCTTCACTTTTGCTAGCGTGGGAATTTTCATCACAGATACTACATAGACGGGCGGACGAAAAAGACGGACAGACGGAGGTGCACTCCATATTCACCAAGAATCTATCCATTTTATGGGGCTTTTGAAGCTTGTTTCTGCGCCTTGTAAAATAAGAGTTGAAGAGAAGTTAAATTTTAATATATTATAAAATTAGGTAGGCGTGGTCGATTTTTCCATTCTTGTAGAGATCGCCTATAAAATATATGTTTAAATTTTAGCAGTTATAGTTTATGAGCAATAATCAAAAAATGAATTTTCCATTCGTTTTGAAAAACAGAGGTGTTCTTGCTTTACATAGCACTGTAGGTGTGTCTTTCGATCGATTTGACCCATTTTTAATTTCAACCTGCACGTAAAAACTTCCAATGTTTCTGTCAATTTTCCAGTCGATAGTTGCATTTTGCAGCATTGCCATTACACAGACGGACAATCGGACTTACGGACATACGGACATAGTTAAATCGATTCAGAATTTGATGCTGATATACTTTGCCGGGTCTCTAAAGCTTCCTTCTGGGCGTTTCAAACGTTTTGGCCAAATGAATGTAACCCCCCGTCCTTCGGTTATCTATGCACAAAGATAGCAAATTCTGTCAAATTTGTTGCAATTAAATAAATAATTAACACTTTTTTTTGTTTTTCAAAGATTCTTTGCGTTAAAAAGTAACCGGTTTTCCTCGACATTTACCTATAAAATGTGAAATGAAACGAAAGCAACGCACAAACCGGTCGTTCATGAGAACATTTAGCAATGACGTAAAATTTTCGTTTATTTTTATACAACTACCAGTATGTATGTTTCACTACCACTATTACTTACTTACCACACATTAGTATAATAGCATCTAATCCAACGCGATATAAAATACGTTTATTGGTTTCCATTGTTAGAAACTGTTCACTAAAGTTTCCGGTGTTGTTGTCGTTGCTTCTTCTATTTGCACTGTTTTTACTAATTATGCTATTATTATGCAAATATTGTTGCTGCTGCTGTTGATGATGGTGATGATGATTGCTATTATTATTATTATTATTATTATTATTTAAACGCACTTCAACACTATTATTATTACTATTATTATTATTATTATGATTATTATGATTATTGGTAATAACGACTGTTGTTGTGGCTAAATTAATTAAATCATTTTGATTATTTGTGTTAGTTAGTGATGTTGCCGTAGTTGCTATAAAACTATTTATCGGTTTTATATGAACAACATCGACGTTTTGCTGATAATCCGGCCGACGTAGCGGTGTTGTTTCAGTTTCACTTGCACTGCTGTTACTACTCATTTGTTGGCCGTTACACAAAATACAAAATAGAACGCGTTGAGTAAAAATTTGTTTCTTCTTTTAATACAGAGAGAATCGTTTAATAAAAAGCTTCTTTTTTTTTTTTTCTTTACTTTATTTTGAAAGCAACTTATTATTATTATTATACCGCTTCGCACACAAACAAACAATCACTAAGAAAATATTTTACTTTATTACGTAAATTTCCTTCAAAACACATTTACTGACTTTGAACTTGAGCGAAACGATGAGAGTAACATCTCTCGACAGTAAGAGAGATGTGAGCGATATAGAGAGAGAGAGAGAGTGTGTGTGTGTGTGTGTTCAGATAGAAGGAGAGAATTGATGATAAGCTTTTGCTTATTTATTTTGCATATTTTTTCCTTTTTTTTTTTTATTTTTTCTTTTTTGCAATTTGAAGAAAACTTTCTTTCCTGCTGTTTGTTTACTATTTTTTTTTTTATAGAATTTCTGTTTTTATTTTCTGTTTTCTTTATTGTTTATTTCGTTTAAAAAAAAAAAAAAAATTTTCTCTTTTTTGACTTAAGCAAAGAAAATCATTTTCTGCTTTAAAGCTTTCATCAGAAATTATTTATATTCACCACAGGCAGTAGATTAACTTTTCCATATGTTTGTTTGTTTACCTCGGCGTAGAGACTTTCGTTTGTGTTCAGATGATCTAAACTAAACTAAAAAGGTAATCAAATTAAATTACTTTTGAATAAAATCATAAAAATGCATGTATGTAGAATTACTTTGTACGTATCTAAGCAGTCGTGCCTTATATAACGGAAGCATGCAAGTTTTTATTATTAACTAAAAGGCGAAAATTGTTTTCTTCGTAATAATGCGTAAGAAAGAAAAGATTACAAATTTTACTTACTATTGTTGTTGAAATGAGTTCAGGAATTTGTAAGCATTAAAGCGTTTCCCAAACAGAAATTTTCATCATACCTAAGGCAACATGATGACCTAATGGGAGATAATTTAAATTGCGTATTAACCAGCCTCAGCCTCAGGGCAAGCAGACATTGCTCACACAACAGTCTACACTAATGAGGACGACAGAGTAAAACATAAAGGAACGTAAGCGAAGCTAATGATTGTGTAATTGTTAGTCTGCAAATCAATTGATTAGTGCAGACAGAACGAAAATCGACATAAAATCTCTACTGTGAAAATGCAGAATAGTCTTTCATCGTCTTATTAGCATAGTACATCTTATATGCTTTAGAAAATAAAAATATAGTAAAACATTGGGTTATACGGAAAGAAATATCATTTTTTTAGTCAAAAAAAAAGTCGATTTCCTTACAGTGTCTAAATATTTTATCAAGAGCAGTAGAACCTCTCAGTGATCTCACTAGTTGGCATTTGGCGGTTTGCTTCAATTAATTCCTTCCAATTAATCCCTTCCCACATTGGGAAAGGACGAAACGACTTTCCGAACAATCTAATGAATTATAATATTAGGAGATACGCCTGAGTGGCCGAGTGGGCAAGCGTCTCGACTAGCTACTCAATGGTCGTGGGTTCAAATCTCAAGTGCGGTAGAGTTTTTAATAAGACCGAAAGCCTTAGATGCTAGTGCTTTAAAACTTTAATCTTAGAATTTATTCTCTGGTTAAAATTAATAATAATAATAATAATGTTAGGAGCATAAATAAATTTCTATCCTTTTCTATCAAAAATTAAGAATTTATGGTGATAGAACGGTGCATAATGTTTTATTCAAAACGGTGCCCATCACTAGCCACTACTCTTTTCCATCTTTCTGGGAGCGTTCGAATGCTACGTGGGAAGAATTCGCCATCGTTTAAGGCTAGCGACGAATCGATCCAATTTTTGGTCTCATCATATGATGTAAAGCGCTGTTTAGGCAAAGGACGTACCATGATAATCCGACCGGACTATGTCTGCTGATCTCAGCGAGGAGGATGAGACATTCGAGGTTAGAACTTCAAACACTTCCTGAGCGAGTTTTATTGTATGGCATTAAATTTCTTCATACTAAAAACTCACATTATCCCGACTTTTAGTTTACCACGCCCATTAAAAAATGTTTAGGTTTATGAAGCAATGGATTAAATGAAAAAAAAAAAAAAAACTGAAGCGTTGTAACATGACGAAAACAGTCGTTGATTTAAAGCAAGAAATGTGGATTGAAATCCAAAGAGTCTTTTTTTTTGGCACTTATCAGATATGCTACAATATTAGATAGCTGGAAAGGCAGGGCTTTTCAGAGTTCACAATTATATGTTGATTTCATTTTTCAAACATACACCCGTACGCATTGCCACCTGCATAATATTGCTTCATATTATCCATTGAGATAAGTAGTACAACATCGTACATGTGGTAGCATAACTGATAGCCTATTAGAGAGAGAGATAGTGGTAGTTAGACACTAAGCGCAGCTGCAAGTACGTTTTACGTTTCGCATGTAAGCTTGCGTATTGTTTACCTGAAAAAGGCAAAATGCATCCATTGGATGAATTGTGAAATTTGTTACTCATTGCGCAGCGTTGAAATCGAGAACTTTTCTCATACATATGATTATTTAAAAAACGCATTTTTTTTTTAACCAAAACAATTTAAATTGAATTTTTCTTCGATTTTATTAGTTGAAGACGATAAGGAGTAAGCTTTCTTGACGCAAGAAAGTTGCATTGACATAAAGTAATAAGAACAAATATGGAATCGTTCTAAAACCATTTGTATGTCACCTTAAATATTTTTAAGGCATTTTTTGAAAACTCGAAAACGGAATCGAAAGTTGTAGATGAAAATGTAAAAAAAATCGTCGCTGTCTTGTCGACGTTAATTCAGTTTCTAACCCTCGGTGGGCCTGCACGATGGGATACATCACAAGCATTTCTTCAGCTTGGGTTTTCAATCGATCAATTTTCATCTTCTTAGCTTCATTTTTTCGAGTTTAGCGATTTCATAAAAACACAGGATCAAAATGATCCCTTTTGGTAGATATAGCTATGTGTCATCGGTATTCCAGGCAAAGAAAAGTGATTATAAATATTTCAAGGCCTTTTTACACAAATGAAAGCCATTAAAAATTTTTGGAACACTACACGTGGTATAACCACTTTTTTGAAGTTCGAATATTAACATTGATCAAAATGACGTACTTCGTGCTTCTAGTGTTAATAGAGGAAATTTTAGAACTGTTTTATTTAGAGATTTTCCTTTTAGGATTTGTGCAAATCTTCAGTTTAATGTTTGGGAGCCGACGGCTTTCTTCGCTTGCAATTTACACTAATAATAGGTTGGTGGGAAAGTTTTGTCGTCTAGGCAATTTTGCTTGTGAGGTAAAGGCAAGCAGGAAAAATGCATCATGTGAGATCTTAATATTTAGCATACGTCTCAGGCGACATAGGAGAACAACCTTCAAGACCCTTTATCCGTTAGTAGTTAGTTGTGAAGTGCAATGTGAATAAATTCCAGCGGATAAAGTGCATTTAGCACACGGCATTTGGTATGAGCTGCAGAAAGGAAGCTTGTGCATCGATTTCTGGTAAGAACTTATGTAACTAATTGGAAAGTAAAGCGGTAAATATTCGCACCTGAGAAAGATGATTTGCCAAATTTCGTTCCGTAGTTTTTTGGTCTCCAAGAAGATCATCCCCTTCAATCATTTTGCAATTGCAACGGACCTCGTCTTGCACCATTGGACTGCTAAAATCTTCAAGTTCAAATATTTCACTTGAAATTTGCAACAATATTTTCTCACCAACCTAATATTTTATTGCGTTAAATTCTTTTTGTTTATCTACGCATGTGCACATGAATTATTTCATAGGGTGACCAGTTATCTGTCGTATATAGACGAAAAAAGTATATATAAAAATGAATCGTTTCTTAATAAAGCTACTTTTCACTTATCCGACAGCCATGTGAAAGATGAATCGCAAAAGCATTTAAAGTAAAAAAGAGCTTCGTTGGGCAATAAAGAACAATGCGCCTTAAAAACGTTTGGTCACCCTAACATTAGCAACTGTAAATTATAGTAGTTCAATTAATGATCCAGAAATTTTTTTTTCATTAAACAAAGATAATAATTAAGACTAGAGATGTCACTCCATACTTTGATCCGTTAGAGAACAAATTATTGAGAAGACGATCAGTGTCATTGGTATTATTTGAGGATCAATCCATTAGGATAATATCAACGTTATGATGACGTCAGTCATTAGGATGGCATTAGAAGGAACATTTTTCCATTTTTGTTATTGTTTGCTACGAACGCGAACGCTTGTGTTTCCCTTTCCTTTAGTGACGCGCACGGTTTTAACCTTTTTTTTTTTAAAATGAAAGAAAGGTCTATTAAAAAATAATGCTTTTAAATATTTTATTTAAAGTAGTGTTGGCAAGTCATTAAATTTATCCCACCTACAAATTTATTTATACTTATTTTTTTGTTATAGCCATAAAAATGAGAACTTTCATATTCATGCAGATCGGGTAGTAAATCATCGATTGAAGTTCAATGCTTCCAATATCAACCAACAGACTCGACCATCTTGATGCCCTATCAAGTCTCTATATCTGCCACTGAGAAATGGTAAATGTGTTCGTTTTGCCAATGCATAGACGAAAACTTTAGAGATCTTATAAAGAATATACAGTAGCGTAGTAAAGTCTACATACTGTGTTTAAAACTAAGGTTTGTCTGACTAAAAGCTGCATTTATGTATTAAGAGTGAAAAAATATATTTTTTAGGAAACAAAAACTTGTATTAAATAACATTTGAATATTTTTTTTATTTTTTTTGACTTAAGATAAAGTTCTAAGCAAAAAATATACTTTAAACCCTTGAAAAAACCAGAAAAGTGTACATACAGCAAAGTTCGAAGAAGAAAATTTCTGGTTAACAGTACTTAATTTTTGTACTTGTTTTCGTACATTTAAATAATAATTGATCAATTAAAGCGAGCTTCTTTATTTCTTATCCTTAAAATGTCACAAAATATATGAAAATGCATGGCAATCTCTCAAGAGGTTGGGAATGTGATTATAAAGTTAAGCGGTCGGGAAAAATCTTATGGAGAAATGGGAAAAACAATTGAAATTAG